CACACTGACAAATGTCCTCCTCTCAGCTTCAATACATGACATCAATAACTGAATCCTACTGTGATCTGATTGGCTCATTGCCAAAACAAGATGACACCTGATTGGCTCTCTAAACACTCATGCTCATTGGCTACAATCAGATGAAGGAAAGCTACCTGATATCAACCTAAGCAAGTTGTGCTTCCTTTTTCTGGTTATTTGGCTATAACTTTTCATAGAATACAGTACAGATAATTGAACAAAGCATGTTGCATTACATTCTTGATTAAATTATCTTTCCATTGATATATAATTTTATGGTATTACTCCCCAAAAAAATGGTGCTATTAGCCATCAAACCTCAAAAATACACTTTTTCCAAAAGGTTTCCACAATTTTGGCCACTACTGTAAGTCCAGTTGCCATGATTCAGCTTCCAAGACGTTCCTTCAGAGTGTATATAGCACTGGATTGCTAATCCAGTAAGCAAAGGTGAACTGATGATGGGGTCACTTTAGTCATAATTATTACTATGACTCTGTATATCTGGTATTGAGCAACAACTAAGGCAGAGTTGCTGCTCCATGAAATCTGTATTGCAAAAGATTTTACTGGCTAGACGCTAGAATCTTTTCCCTTCACTGGCATCAGACTGATGGTTGGGTTAGTATAACCTAAAAACGTTTTGTGCTGTTTACTGTGGTTGAATTGAAGGATGAATTTTGAAAGTATCAGTTAGTAATACAGTATTAAATACCTAGTTTTTCCATCTACAGATATATTAATCTGCTTAAAGCTCACCTTTTCCAAACATTATATACATGGTAACACAGAGTGTAGAGAGCAGGAGGGATGCTATGATTGTTTAAGAATTGTTATCTCTCTTCTTCGTTGCAAATTTCAGTTTTCAAATCTTATTTTCTTTTATTTTCCTCCTTAATATTATTACAATGAGATTATTATGATCAGCCCCTCCCATATTCTTTAAATTCTCAATTAAATGCTACCCATTTGTTGTTTATTATTCTTTATAAGAATATTCTTTCTTTTGTTTTCCTTCTGTGGAAAACATACATGTTTTCTTATATCTATCCATCAGTCTTGATAGATACAAAGGGAAAAAATGTGATCCAGGACTAACACCAGGCAATATTTGTTGCCTAAGGCAAAATATATTGCTTTCTGAAACCAAAGGAGAAATGATGCTAGGGTCTTATGACTTCTGATATCAAAATAAAAGTTTATTTTGAAAATTTAACAACTCAAGTAATGCTGTCTCATTTTTCCCTTATAGCTAAGGAATGAGGGACTACACTGTTAGAAACAGAGAGTACCAATTAAAGTCCATCATTTTGCTCTGTAATTGCTATCTTTCCTTTGTTTAAAAGCTACACTGGCAGAATTGAATTATACCAAATCCTTTTCTCACTATAAGTTCATAAAGCATTCATAATTGGTATCTTCAGGCACAGACTTGGAAATGTCACCTTTGTGGGGCAACTTTGTCATATTAAGACTAAGCTTTCCTGAAATCATGGGGGCTTAATTTATATTATATACATGGACTCTGGTTTTAGTTAGAAATTATGCTCTCAAACTACACTTATAATCGTAAATTCATTTTTAGTGATATTTTAAAATATTTCATTTAAGAAATTTATCATCCACTATGCCAGATATCTATCTTATTTAACCATTTAATGAAACCACTGGGAGAATTGATCCAATATAGGGGTTCAGTATGTTGATGATATCCAGTTTTATATCTCGTTAGCTTCAGAAAATGTAATGGATGCGCTGATCTGGTATATGGAGGCTTCAAAACTTTGAAGCAGGCTGAGACAGAAATCTTTCAGAATATGCTGTTTATTCTGGAACTATCAGGTTTGTTAGAAGCTTTGGTTCTGGGTGGGTTTGTACTTCCTCTCAGTGAGTGAATCCATGATCTAGGGCACTGATGGCGAACCTATGGCACGGGTGCCAGAGGCAGCACTCGGAGCCCTCTCTGTGGGCACATGTGCCATTGCCCCAGCCTTGCCTCCCCCCGTGACCCCTTCCTCTCCAGCAGCCCCCCTGAAGGAGAGTCGCCCCTGAGCGTGGCCCACGCGGAGCAGCACAGCCAAGGACATGGCAGCCAGGCAGCGTAGACAAGACTCTGCACTCACACCCCATTGTGCACAGTTGATGCTGCAGGGCATGAGCAGAGGGCAGGACCGCCATAGCGCTGCTGGGCTGCCTGGGCGATCTGCGGCGGGCCCTGGAGGCAGGCGGGTGAGTGGCCCTGTGGGCAGGCGGGGGATGGGGGGGCGGAGTGGGGGCGGATGGGGGGGCGGAGCGGGGGCGGGGCAGGGAGTGGAGCAGGGGTGGGCCAGTTTTTGGGCACTCAGTCTCTAAAAGGTTCGCCATCACTGATCTAGAGTTTATTTGGCACCATAGCTCTTATTCAGACAATGGAGGTTGGGGCCATGGTTACTTTATCCAGTTTTGGCAGTATACAAGATACATCTGTTCTTCGAACTCAGTGCTTTGGCTACTACAATTCTCTCTTTTTGGGGTTGCCTTTGAAGGTGATTTTGAAACTTAAGTTGGTACTGAACATGCTGCCCTGTGTACTCATGAGCAAAAGTCAATTCATTAGAATAACAGCTCTTTATCAGTTATTGCACCATATATTTGCAGGATAAAATATTGCTTATCATCTAACCTACATGTTTGAATCTTGAAGATGTGTTGCATATCTTTGCCATCAGTGAGATGTATCTTATTTGTGGCTGTTGTAACATTATGGAATAATCCATCCCTCAATACAAGGCTAGTGCTCTCTACCTGTTGATAAGAAGGAAAGAGATTAAATCTTCTTTAACTATGCTTTTAGATTATAATTCATTGCCCAATATTTCTTTGGCCAAATATTACCAACTTAAGAAGTTATCAAGTTTTCTTTTAAGCCTTTTCACATTGTCTGATTTTGTAGTGTTTTATTTTTGTGAGTTTTATGATTGGGATAGCTTTAAAATCCTTCTAAATCAATCAATAAATGAGAAAAAGTAAGATACAGGCAGTCCTCAACTTATGACCACAATTGAGCCCAAAATTTTTGTTGCTAAGTGAAACATTTGTTAAGTGAATTTTGCACTTAATAATAATAATAGAACTGAAGTGCTTACCCATGCCAGAATATCATTCCCAGCTACAAAATTAAATATATTTTTTTAAAAAATTGTGTCTCTGAATATTAAATATTACAACTCTTTAGATCCAGATGTTCATTTAAAAATATTAATTTGAACCCCAACAATTTAGCATTGAGCCTTTCTAAAGGAAAATAATACATTTGCACTAATTTTTTCTCCATTTTAAGCCTCTTCCCCTCTGAATTCCTCTGCCCCAATTTAGTCTTGCATGATGAACAAAATTAAGGATGAGTTTGTGAGAGCTATAGAATATTTGAAGAATCCTTGAGGTGTTGCCTGTGGTTTATGAATCTTGTACGGAAGATGCTATGCAATGATTATGCATACCATATGCACATGTATGAGATATGATGACCCAGCAAAGAAACTGCACAAATCATTCATACATAGCCCAATACTAATTTTACATCACATATGCAGTAGTTCTGAGAACTTACACAATTGGAATAGAATAGAATAGAATAGAATAGAATAGAATAGAATAGAGCTGGAAGGGACCTTGGAGGTCTTCTAGTCCAGCCCCCTGCTCAAGCAGGAGAACTTATACCATCTCAGACAGGTGACTGTCCAGTCTCTTCTTGAAAATTTCCAGTGATGGAGCGCCCACGATTTCTGGGGGTAAGCTGTTCCACTGGTTGATTGTCCTCACTGTCAGGAAGTTTCTCCTTCATTCCAGATTGCTTCTCTCTTTGATCAGTTTTCAACCATTGTTTCACATCCTTCCCTCTGGTGCTCTGGTGAACAACCTGGCCCCCTCTGCCTTATGGCAGCCCCTCGGATACTGGAATACTGCTATCATGTCTCCCCTATTTTTTCTTTTCTTTAGACTAGCCAAACCCAAGTCCTGCAGCCGTTCTTTGTATATTTTGGTCTCCAGGCCTTTGATCATCTTAGTTGCTCTTCTCTGAATTTTTTTCCAAACTCTCAACATCTTTTTTATGATATGGTGACCAAAATTGGCTGCAGTATTCGAGGTGTGATCTTACTAGAACTTTATAAAGTGGTACTAATACTTCGCGTGATCTTGATTCTATGCCTCTGTTTATACAACCCAGGATTGTATTAGCTTTTTTGGTTGCTGCTGCACAATATGGTTTACTAATCAGTGTGCTGTTTTAAGTAGATTATGAGCAGACTTTTTTTTTCTTTGCTTGCTTGACCATCCACATGCTAGTATAAAGCAAAATATGACTGGCCAAACTATAGCTTATCTGAAAACATCAAAGGACATAAATTAAGAATGAAGGGGAATGTACATGTCCCAGGATAATGTTACAGGATCTAATCTGGGTCAGTCACCACCTCTGGCCCACCACTTATGACCCAGATTGGATCCTACACTATTAATTAACTTCATTAGGATTACTATCTTATTTTCCCCTAATATTACCTAACTATGAATCTTCCCTAGATGTTATTTCCAATTTTTATATCCCTTCCATTTTTATGCATTAATTCCCTTTCTACTATAAGGAGATAAAGCCATGTTTGCTTGAAGGTTAAATTCCTTGGTCTTTGACTCAAGTCTTGTGAGCTTTGTCCAAAGCACCAAAAACAAAACAAAACAAAAGTTTTATAATTTGCCAGCTATAATAGTTAATGCCATGTTAACCTCAACCATTTATTTCTGTATAGTTTAACAACTTTTTTTTCTTTACTTTTCCCATCAGGGATAAGCAGTGGTTAATGTGACGCTATGAAATAAATAGTATTTTGGAAGGGTTATCTAATTCTTTCTCCATAATTTAGATTACGAAAATTATTAAGGAATTTGAAGAGGTATTGTATTATCAATTTTCTTTGTCTCTGGTATTTTGGTATTTACAGTGATGAAGCTCCAGGCAGTCAGTTGGTTACAGATAAGTTTCACATTGACTGGGATTCTGTGCTTGTCAACTCTGATAATGTCATCATAGCTCAGTTTGACGGAAGAGGAAGTGGATTTCAAGGACTCAAGATTTTGCAAGAGGTTCACCGTTCACTAGGATCAGTGGAAGTGAAGGATCAGATAGCAGCGGTAGAGTACGTGTGTGCCAAATTATATCCATTTTTAAAAATTCTTTCTTTTGTTATGACAGATAGAAATGCATTGTGTTTTATATCTGTACTATATTGGGTTAATGGAATTCATGCACTATTTAAGAGGAATAAAGATCAATATAGCATCAAATCTGCTTTTAGATTTAGTCTAACTCAGGGCTGTCAAACTCGCAATGTCACGTGACGTGTCGTGATGTATCGCGACTTTTTTGCCATTGCCGGCAATGGGGTGGGTGCAGTTTCGCTATGATGCATCGGGCCCGTGAGCTGGCAGTTTGATACCCCTGGTCTAACTAGTCTACAGTAACTAATTGACATTTTTACTAGGAAAGTATTGTATGATATGGAATGCATTCCAGATGTTGTATATTACTAAAATACAATAAACTACTTCTAAATCCTACAGGTATAATGAGTAGATGATCTATTATCAAACATATGATGTTGGTCCTGCTGCATAACAAAACTAAATCTACATGATTTTAGTGCCTAAAAACGATTTATTGTTAGTTGTGATTGCTGTCCTTTGACATTTTTTTAAAAAAATATACATGAGTATTAGCCCTGGTTCTGTTTCAAACATACAGAAATATGGATGTATTGAAATAATTACATGTGATTTAAAAACAGTGGTTAAACATTTCTGCACTATAGGTACTCTCTTCATCTCTTGTCAAACTTAATTTTTGGATTTATCATAGCCAGCCTTATATTAAGTAGTCCCTTATTACGCCTTCTCAATTCCAAGACATTCCTTGGAGGACAGAATACATGCAAAGCATTTAGCAGGGTTGATCTTTAAACTAACTTCCTGCCTCAGAGTTGTGAAGGGGGTGCACCATTTGCAGTGTTAAAAAAAGTAGGATTAATTTGCCAAGTAATCTTGTTCTCTGTCCCAAGGGATTATGAGCGTGGAGTGCACCAGGAGAATACTAAGATCAAAAAAGCTCTTTTGTGTTTGCTACAGGGAGGACCTAAGCAGATTCAAACAGTGCATGCTGTTCATGCTACTCAATTCTAGCTTAATAAAACATATAAATGCACCCAGTGTACTGCCATACTTTATGGTTTTATTATATTTTTAATTGAATCCCATGCTGGGATAGTCATTGCAGTTACCTAGGGTCAAAATAGCTACTTAATATTTTATTTTTTAAAAAATCTTTCCACACCATATCTGATTAATGTCTTATATGAGGGGATTCACAGTTCTGAAGATAACGACAATTTAGCAGTCTAATTCAATCAAGAAGTAATTTCTTCTCCAGTGCAGCAGGTAGAGAAGTAGGTGGATAGGCAGAAGACAAACAAGTAGACAAACACCTATATTCTTTACATACAGAAAAAAAAAA